GTTTTAACTCTGTCTTATGCCTTTGTTTGTTTATTTATTCCACTTTTATTTTTCTTTGTGCTTTGCTACTATTGCATATTGTTACTTTCATGCATAAACCATATAATCAGTTCTCTTTGGGTGGCCAGGGCAAAAAAAATTATGCCATTTTAGCAGTTCTTATTTAGATGGTTGGGTGTTACTGGCAGAATTTTTCTCCATGAAAGGAATTTTCCATGACAAGGGGCATTTCAGAGTAATCTGCAGCACAGTGGCAGTATGTGTAGGCATCTCAAGTGCTCATGTTCTTTCATTTAACCATGTTCCAACACAGTGCAAGATGATAGCTTCCAGTAGTGGGGGAGCTCTTAGATTGCAGTTCTGTTACCTCATTATATTTACTATTATGAGTGTTACCATTTATTCACAGTAGTAAACATTGTGTTAAGTAGTAAGTATATACAGGTTCTCGGCTTTAGAAATAATACCACAATTATGAGTACTGAACAATCTTGAGACATTGTGTTTAGTGAAAAGCATTTGCTGGAGCATTGTGTAAAGCCACAGAAATAGGCATTGCTATGTTGTCAGAAACCTTTCCTTTTGATCACCCCAATACAATTTCTAAAATAAATTTAATGTCTGAGATCAGCTAAGATTCACTGGTGACCAAAACTGCAGAACCTAGGGCAGTCAGCCATTTTGTCTCTGACTGCTAACAAGTTGACAACAAGAGTGATAAATAGTTGGATGATGGTTTTTGAAGTGCAGATTTCTACTAAATCAGTGGGCAAGATATGTCAGACTGCTAGCAATTGTCAAGAGATTCTGCTAGGCCCCCCATAAATACCTCCCCTTTCATTCACTTTTGCACTCTACTGGAGACACATAAATTAACACAACAAAAAATAATGTGGGAGTTTTTATAGTTTAATACATCCAACTTTCTATTTTAGAATGCAAAGAATATAAAAACAGTTTTGCTTATGTGTCTGGGTAACATACAAAACACCTGCAAAATCAATAATAGAAAATGTTACTGAAAGGCCCAATAGCCCTCAAAGAGATAATGTGAATCGGCCATTAACAGTAAGTCATTACAGAACTTATTAAGTGAAGCCTTGGGGCTGTCATAGAGCCTAAAGGTTGACATAAATTTTTCATACACGTTGAACTTTACTAAATGTGCTTCCATTTGATTAATGATGGCTTTCTTCAGCACGCTAATAAGAAGGGGAAAATATGAGCTCAGGCTGCAGCAGGGAGAATAGTCTCCTGGAAGACAGGCCATCTTTGGGAGCAGGGGAACAATGGGCCTTTCTAAAGACACCCTGCCAAGTCCAGAGGAGTTTATTACTCCCTGAAAAACTGCCTCTTACCACCCAGAGTTAGGGAACTGAGCACAGCATGAGAAACTGGAAAACCAGTTTTGTAATTGTGGAAGTGGAAGCATCTTAGCTCCAAACCACCACCACTAACAACAAAAATCCGCCCCTCTGCCCCCCTTAAGACCTCCATATATCACACAGAACAATACAGCAGGGCTTCATATTTATAAAGCTGCTTTGTGGAATGAGTGGTATGTCTGCAAGGCCTGCTGGGGACAGAGCTGGAGGAAATTTGCCTTGGCAGCCAAAGCAGTGAGTCATGGATTCATGAAATGATTTAGGTTGGAAAAGTAGACCACAACAACAAAATAAACCACTCACTTGCAACAGGGCCTGGAGAACAGCATATGGATTTGGTCAATTAAAATAAACATGCTTTTGACTTTTTTTTTTTTTTTTTTTAAAACAAAAAAAAAAAAAAAAAAAAAAAAAAAAAAAAAAAAACAGCAGTAGCCTGTGGGGACATATTTTGGTGCCTTTATCCATTTAAAAATAACAAGTGTTCGTAATTGGAAGCTAAAGTATTTTCCCACTTCTCCCTGCAGACTTGGCCACTACCCATCAGATACGTTTGCTTGCTTGATGAGACTCTCCCCTGTGGGTGCAGGACCCCACTCCACATGAGAGCCATAGGTACTATGTGCTTTGCCTGCATAGAACTTGGAATTGCCCAGGCAGCCAAATACTTTTCAGCTAGATTTCCCAATGATATTATTGAAAAAAAGAGCTTAAAACTATTAACATCCTATTAATCATTCACTTACAAACCCACAGAGCAACTGAGAAACAAGTTTCCCCCATATTCCTAATGGATTTTACTATACTTGTTTTTTTTTTTTTTTTTTTTTTTTTTAAAAACAAACAAGCAAAAAAAAAACCAACCAACCCAAAACAATCAGTAACCTCAGGCCAAAGCAGTCACAGTCTAAGTCTCTGTCACTAACCACCAAAAATGCTAGACACTTCTTAAAAATCAGGGGCTAAAAAAAAAAACCAACCAACCCAAAACAATCAGTAACCTCAGGCCAAAGCAGTCACAGTCTAAGTCTCTGTCACTAACCACCAAAAATGCTAGACACTTCTTAAAAATCAGGGGCTAGCTTTAAAAAAAAAAAAAGGATGTTTTTATCTTTCTAGTTTTTAAACTTTGATGTTTTTATTTATTTTAAAAGACCAAGCCTGTAATTGAGCAACTAAAAAAAACAAAACAAAACAAAACCAAAACAGTCCTAGCCAAGAGAAGTCACAATAAACCAAAAGAATTCCCATCTTTTGAGTCCCAGAAAGATACGGTTGACTCCTTGTGAGCCTGATTTAAAAAAAATAATTATTTTTTTTCCCCTCCCTGTAAGCTTATCAGCAACAACATAGTAACATTTAGCATTTTATTTTGTCAGTCAACAATATGGAGCCAAGAAAACATGCAAATAATTTAAAAGCTTTTCTTATCTGTGGTCATATCAATTTCTAAGGCATGATCTCACACAAGGCCACATACATGTTGGTGGCAAGCAGGCAAGCTTATGCCCCGTGACACAGTATCAAAACCTGCCCGACATAATGGCAAGCACATGACAGACAATAAAAAAAAAAAAAAAAAAATTCCCAACCCTTCCCCTTCCATATCAGTGCAAGTTTTGAGAGTTCCCTTAGCAACCAGCACTGAACTTGCATACCTAATTGCTTCTTGCTGGTGATAAGAGAAGTTGTGTACCAATGTGCTGTGGTGCTCATGAGACAGGAGGCATGTTAACCTTGCTCAGGTGGGTTTTCTTCTGGTGCTAAGCAGCTAGACAAGGAGCTGCATATTTTTGCTAAGAGGAGCACACCTGTACTCAGCTCACAGAATAACTGCGACTCCTGGCTAATGTCTGTTATGAGGGGTAGTGTGTGTGGTGTGTCCGCGTGTGTGTGTCCCCCCGCGTCCGTATGTGGTGTGTCCGCCCGTCCCTGATGTCTCAAGCAGGACTTAAAAAAGGGGGGTGGGAAATCATTGTCTGGACTTGCTACTGTCCCTTCCCTTACCTGGCTTAGTCATGGCGCTCCTCCTTTTAATTAGGTTTTGTCTTCAAACCCAACACAGTTATAATTAATCTTTCCATTGCCTTCTATGGCTCTGAGGCTCAGCCCTTCCCTTAGCTCAATTGGGAAGCGTGTGTGTGAGAGAGAGAGAGACTACACTGAAGTAACTACGCAAGTAAATCCCTTCCCAGGTTGCTCAGGTCCTTGAGAGCCCTGTGACCAACCACAGCCCCAGCCCAGAGTCTTCCCTGATTCCTGTCAGGGACTAACCCAGTACTGCTGCATTGGGCTGGTTTTTACATTCTCCGAGTATAAACCTGAGACTCCAGCGACTGCTGCTGTGAAGTTTAACACAAATAAATGTCCTGTTGTTGTGCCAAAACACGCTGTTCATTGGGGGTGCTGCAGATGATATGTAATGAGTATAATTCCCAGCATTTCAGAGGTAGTGTTGGCTGAGATTAGCAAGACTAACTTAATAAAGCACTACGATAATTGCATATTCGCTGGGAAGGGGGAAAATAATCAAATGAAAAAGGACAAAACCAGCAGGGAAAGAAAATTTATTTCCAAGCATCTATGAGAGTGCTACAAACAATAGAGACTAAAACTCGAAGCATTTAAAACTATTAAAAAATGTAGTTGACAATGTCCTTCTAAAAAATTAAACAGAAAAATGTAGAAAATGCAGTTAATTCTAAAACTTGCTCAATAGTGAGCTCAATAGCATCAATGAGGATGGAGTCCTACAAATGACTTTTTTTAAACTTTATTTCCATTTGTTAATTTGTAAATTGATACTCATTTCATTTTAAAATGTTTATTTAAATTTATAATGGAGAAATGTGCAAATCTAGCAAAATATTCTTTGGATTATAAACAGAGAAAAATCAACGACCAAAGAAATTTGAACCGAGTTAATAATAAACTATAGAATTATATAGAATGGATACAGCTATAATAAAGTGAAATATTACAATAAACATTGTAGAGCAAATCTGCTTATTTAGCAAACCCTGCCTTATAAAACATAAGGATATAATGGGACAAGTGAATATGTTATGATTATAGAGCTGAAACATCATAATTTCAACAATCTAAATTTTAATCTAACTACATATAGGGGAGTCTTCAGAAAAGCAACACACCAACAAATCAGATTTCCTCTCAGATCAAGCAGTTTGGTACCTGACTGCAAATGAAGGACAGGATCTGTAAAATGAGCAGTAGATAAATGTGTAACATTTCTGTTTATTGCCTCTTCCCATATTGCAGCTGCTGATCTCTGCCCCTAAACAGCAAACTATTAAATTTAGCAGAAGTACAGCTGTATACAGATGCTGAAAATGTTGATGCGTGGAACATCTTCCAATCCCTTGCTCATTCTGAACTAATATAAAGAAAAAGTTATAGATCATTTTTTGATTAAAAATATACATTACAAAGAACAACTCTGAAAGCACTCTGTATTTCTGTCATCATGAACTAAAATGTCTTCCTATCAGCAGACAATGCTGTTCTACTGCAGTAAACAGGGAGATAAGAAAAAATCAGAAGTAAAAAAAAAAAAAAAAAAAGGTAAAAAAAAAAAAGTGCCAGAATCTTAATTACTACTCAGGTAAGGTAATTGTCAGGTAGAAGAGTCTTCAGGGAACTTATAACTAAACTGGGTCAGATTTAAGTCTCTAGAACCTGCAGACGCTTAGCACAGATATGGAAATTCACAAGCCTGAAGTAAATTGTAAGAACAGAGTACTCCTGTCCACTTATAAAGTAATTTGTGAAACCTCTGGAATTTCTAAGATACATGATAAATGCATATTACATGGGAAATATTGAAAAGTATTACACTTAATTTAATTCAGAAAACACAGTAGTATTATATGAAGATTATTACTGTGTTCTGGGAGCAGCCACAAGCTGTAGATAGAGAGGGTACAAAATGTTCACCAGACATTACATTTTTTTTAAATCTAAAAAACATTTGTAAAATGTACTTGATTTTTAAATAATCACTTAACAAGGCAACAAACCAACTACAAACACATAATAAATAAGGCTATTAAAAGGTCACAATTGTAGTAAATTAGTCAGAACTATAAATGGGACATTAGAAACACTATGTTTTTCCTTATATGCTTAATAACCAGAACAAGAATTAAAAAAGAATCAGTTTATTTCAAAGTCTGCTTCTTATATTGAAGCACATATTAAAGCAACAGTACAATGTTCATAAAATATAAGTGTGATGCTGTAACATTTCTTACATGTCAGAATACTGATATTTGTATGTATACTAAAATAAGAATTTTAAAATTGTACAAATAGATACATTAAAAATGACATAGAAATAGGGCGCCTCCCACTGCAACAAGACAGAGTTTTTATATCTGGCACGTATTAGTTCAAGATGAAAGTATAAGCAAAAAGATTTACAAGAATCAGCAGTAACAAGTTTGATGCTCAAGAGACATAATAATTGTACATTGTACTGTACATACATCATATGGGTTTAAGCTGGCTGAATATTATATATTTCAAGTTTAAAAATGCACTACTAGATAGAGTGTCCATAGTTTAAGGCGAAATTACAGCTCAGAACTGTTATCTTTTCTAATTTGTGGAAGCTTCTTTGACATAAAGATTTAGATGTTCATAATACATAAAAGTTCTCCCTTATTTTGTAGGTTTGCTATTAGCATTTTCCTTCATTTAAATATTTTTATTAAGTGGGTTTTTTCCTCTAGTGAAGCTGGCAGTCAACTTCTATGTTTGCCTTTTGTAGGAAAAGGTACTTCACAGTATTTACCACTTTTAAGTCCTTTTTTATCAAAGGAATCCTCTCTGTCAAACTTAAATGAGATTTTTCTTGATTTTTAAAAAAATACCTGCTTACATTTCTTCTGGATTCTTCAGAACATTGGGGACAGTTCTTAAGGCCAAATCTTAAACTTTATTGTTAAGAATCATCATCGAAAGTGTCTTTGGAGCCATACAAGTCTGCAAGTTTCTTAAACCGAGGTCCCCAGTTTTGTAGATAGTCGTAGTCCAAATCAGAATCTGTTGTCGCTGACTCTAACGAGCTAAGTGAACCAGCCACTGAGCCTCTTCCTTCATAGCCATAGATCTGAATAGAGTCATAAGGAGGAGCAGTTGGATCATTATCAGCCTCTTGTATTCTTGTGTTGATGAAATCATCAACGTCAACACTATTAGGAGCTGGCCGCAGCCCTGGTCTTGGCATATACTGATACTCAGGTTTTATGTCTTTACGAGGAATAAATCCATTGATGCCATCAGGGTTCTGCAAAGTAGCTATGTCAAAAGCTTCAGTGTCTTCCTCTCCTCCACCTTCATCATCGTAAGTAATAATGTTCTCTCGGACATCTTCCTCTTCAAAGACAATCAGAGGTTCTTTTTTCTGTCTTTTCAGTGTTACAAACAACACTACAATGACTAGAGAAAGAAAAAGCAAGTTAGACTGCACTCTTGAGCAGCAGCTGCCTTATAAATAGATTATTGCATTCACTGAAACTCCAGCTTCAGTTCCTCATGTATATTTGCTGACATCTGCACTTTTAGCATACCTAGCTAGGACAGAATTGAACATACTGATTTAAAGTTCTCTGTTTGGGCTGAATGCCATTGCTCTTTCTAATGGCTCACTATTGCAAGACTAATTGAAGAAAAGCATTTGTGGGCCTCCAGTGCTGCGTGAACACTGTGGCAATCACATGTACCGTCTAAAAGGTAATGAAAATGGAAAGAAAGAAAGAAAAGAAAGACTATAAAATTACTATGGTCAAATTAAAACATTTTATATAAATATTTTCAAATGATCAGGAAATGCTTTACAGCACTTTCTTAAAAGCAGGTCTTGTGAGCCATTCATTTGTCTTCAACACAAGAGGATTTAGAAGGAAATAGCTGGCAGGAGCCATTAATCCTGGCTGACCTCAATAAGGAACCTGTCATCCAAGGAAGATCACAAAACTTTAAACTGTATGTCATGACCTCCTTTAAACAGTGTCCCTGATTAACTGATATTGGGCTGTAAAAGGACATTCTTTGAGCACACCTAGACTAATTCACTGGTACTTGCTATTGCAGTCATCATATACTGCATTTTGGCCAGGCCAATTAGTGCCTTTTATAAAAATAAAAGCTAAGAAGTTAAGATTCATTTATCCATCTTGAAGTTGAAACCAAGGTTAATTTTTTAGCACAATCAAGGGTAGATGAGTAATAAGGAAAGAACTTTTTTACCTAATAAAATCACAATGCAAGCTAGAATGGCAATTAAAGCTCCCGTGCTTAATCCAGCATTGAGGACGTAGGCTTCGGCGTTACAGGAGAGCAAGGAGCCGTTGCTGTCACAGCCGCAGACCTAAGAATCATCATCGAAAGTGTCTTTGGAGCCATACAAGTCTGCAAGTTTCTTAAACCGAGGTCCCCAGTTTTGTAGATAGTCGTAGTCCAAATCAGAATCTGTTGTCGCTGACTCTAACGAGCTAAGTGAACCAGCCACTGAGCCTCTTCCTTCATAGCCATAGATCTGAATAGAGTCATAAGGAGGAGCAGTTGGATCATTATCAGCCTCTTGTATTCTTGTGTTGATGAAATCATCAACGTCAACACTATTAGGAGCTGGCCGCAGCCCTGGTCTTGGCATATACTGATACTCAGGTTTTATGTCTTTACGAGGAATAAATCCATTGATGCCATCAGGGTTCTGCAAAGTAGCTATGTCAAAAGCTTCAGTGTCTTCCTCTCCTCCACCTTCATCATCGTAAGTAATAATGTTCTCTCGGACATCTTCCTCTTCAAAGACAATCAGAGGTTCTTTTTTCTGTCTTTTCAGTGTTACAAACAACACTACAATGACTAGAGAAAGAAAAAGCAAGTTAGACTGCACTCTTAAGCAGCAGCTGCCTTATAAATAGATTATTGCATTCACTGAAACTCCAGCTTCAGTTCCTCATGTATATTTGCTGACATCTGCACTTTTAGCATACCTAGCTAGGACAGAATTGAACATACTGATTTAAAATTCTCTGTTTGGGCTGAATGCCATTGCTCTTTCTAATGGCTCACTATTGCAAGACTAATTGAAGAAAAGCATTTGTGGGCCTCCAGTGCTGCGTGAACACTGTGGCAATCACATGTACCGTCTGCAACAAAATGAAAATGGAAAGAAAGAAAGAAAAGAAAGACTATAAAATTACTATGGTCAAATTAAAACATTTTATATAAATATTTTCAAATGATCAGGAAATGCTTTACAGCACTTTCTTAAAAGCAGGTCTTGTGAGCCATTCATTTGTCTTCAACACAAGAGGATTTAGAAGGAAATAGCTGGCAGGAGCCATTAATCCTGGCTGACCTCAATAAGGAACCTGTCATCCAAGGAAGATCACAAAACTTTAAACTGTATGTCATGACCTCCTTTAAACAGTGTCCCTGATTAACTGATATTGGGCTGTAAAAGGACATTCTTTGAGCACACCTAGACTAATTCACTGGTACTTGCTATTGCAGTCATCATATACTGCATTTTGGCCAGGCCAATTAGTGCCTTTTATAAAAATAAAAGCTTCATTTATCCATCTTGAAGTTGAAACCAAGGTTAATTTTTTAGCACAATCAAGGGTAGATGAGTAATAAGGAAAGAACTTTTTTACCTAATAAAATCACAATGCAAGCTAGAATGGCAATTAAAGCTCCCGTGCTTAATCCAGCATTGAGGACGTAGGCTTCGGCGTTACAGGAGAGCAAGGAGCCGTTGCTGTCACAGCCGCAGACCCGGATGGTGAGGGTGTTGGTGCTGCTCAGAGGGGGCAGTCCGCCATCACTTATTACAATAGGAAGAAGATACAAATCTTGCTTTTGGCGACTAAATCCTTCACGTCTAACAAGAACACTTGCTGTGTTATCTGTTGAAAGAAAGAGAGAGTCATCACCACTGTTTCCACAAAGTCATCATCTTAGTGAGTACTGAAAAAAAAATGTGCTTGCTACATTGGCTCTGAACTTTCAGATGCCTCAGCATTATTTGTACAACAAACTAGTACAATGTGTTGCCTTCCTAATGACCCAAGAGCAATTAAAGAATTGTGTGTCATTCAGACAGTACCACACTCAATTTTAATTATTTTAGGGTGATGAGGGTAACGCAAAAATATCTCTGCTAGTACCTCTTTTTTGCACCCCAATAACTTTCTGGGAAATTCACAATACTTCATCAACTACTAGAATGACTGGGCCTTGGCATTGCTGTTTGAACTGGTTCTAGTCCCCCTTCTGGTATTGAAACCTTCCGTGGAGGTGACAAAACCCAGACACCCTTGATTTATGGTTCTTGATCTCAGATCTATAAGATTAGAAGGCAGAAATCTGTTCCAAAATGACCTGTGGCAATGAGACTCCCACCAAAATGAAAAGCAGTGTACTAGCAGATTTGAGCCTGACATGAAGGCCTAGGATGTGCTTCCTGCTCCCAGCCACACCAGACAAAGGCTAGGGAACACAAACAGCATTTCTTTATTGTACCCCTACTTCTCAGTTCTCAGACTGAACCAAAGTTTATAAAATTGTAAATATCCTGAAGTAAATAAAATGAAACAATCTTATCTGTGGTTTTCAGACCTTCAAAACTAGTTTAGGATGAAGATTTACTTCACACTACCCTTTTCCGTTTTACTATGTGTTTTATTTTTCACAAGATAACAGAAAGAAAAAAAATAGAAAAGAATGGTTCTTTTATCTGCTAAGGGAGGGCTATTCACCTCCAACATACCCATTTTACTATTACCTCAGGGTCCTGCAGAAGATTAGTCATTTTTCTGTTTAAGAGTCAGCATTAATTCCAGAATTTAATAATGCAAATAATAAAACCTCTCCTAATGATCTAATCACTGCTATTTCCATGAAAATTTTGAATAAATTATACCAAAAGAGAAGTATTCTTCCTTTATATTAACTACCCTTGCAGGCAGTACCCCTGATGCAGGACAAGATCTGAAACTGTCCCCAGATTTGGTGGGCACAGGTGCATTTATGGGATGAGAAGGATGTTATGGCCCAGCTTATCTGACTCTCCTACTACTAGTAACTTCTGTAGATCACAGAACAAAGGATGAAATTTGTTTAGGACTGTCCTAGATAGGATCTGTTCGTTACACGTCACATTAATTCACCTCCCCAGGTCTCCACCTCTCCTGTCATGCCCACCACATTTGATGCCCACTGTTGTTACCTCAGCTTGATAGAACAGTGGTGTTTCTGACACTGAAGTCTCATAGAAATAACATCTGGATAGAAAATAGCTTGTTAACGTCTCTTTTACATGATGGTCATACTTGCTAAGGATAGAGAAGCTCATAAGTATCCAATTATTTATTAGCAGGCTTTTTTTGGAGGTGCCCTTCCTCTATTTCAGTCATTTTAACCTCCTAGATGTTAACATGCAACAGTTGCCCAGCTAGGCTTTGTATATCAACGTCTGTATGATAGGTGTCTTATTTTAGAACTTGAAGTTAATGGGCTCATAAAAAATTGATGTAAATAAAAATGTAACATCTAATACCTATTAACCTATCAACTAATACTTGAACTAATTTATATTGATGTAGAATAAAACTATTCCACAGGGTTCTCTAAAATACATTTAATAATTCATTTCCTCTATACAAGAACAAAGATCTGCTCTATGAAATGAGAGATCACAATAGGACAGATTATTCTTGTGGCATAAAAATCTGAACTTTAATTGTTTCGTCTGCATTTTTAAATTATATTTTACTGTGTCATATTGTATTTTTCTTGAATTTTGGCAACTTAAATAATATTCCTAACTACAATTGAGAAAAGGATGGCAAATTACTCAACTATTACACAGACTGGTCAATTCCATTGCAGTCTCTTACATTACACTAAGGCTGAATTTGATGCAACAGTTGATTTCTGTGGTTTAACTTGAAGTGATTTCTAGTTTAATATAATTTTTAAAAAAATAAAAAATCCAAGCACCATGTGGCTAAAATTTAAAAAAGACTAACATAGATCAACCCTAAAGGTCATTTTAAAAACTTTTTTCCTGTTTACACTGACTTATCGCATTTAGACAAAATATTATATCCATAAGAGGGAAGCACCCCCCCCCCCCCTTTTTACCTAGATAAAATATAACATATAATCCTAGCTGATATTCTCATCCTTGCTTTTTCATTATTTTCAAGTCTCAGGAGCATAACTATAATCCAGGTATAATGACATTTTTTAAGCCAAGAAACAGAAGTTAAATGTCATCACCAGTTTAAAACTATTACTTAACACATAGGGGAGTTACTTGACTGACAGCCTTAATGAACACTGTGGGGGTTAACACAGAAGACGGAAGAAGAGAGCCATCTCAGCACCATTCAGAAAGATACATATGCACTCATTTTCCCAGTTATTTTTGTCTGGGATATCCAATATCCAAAAGGGTTGCAAGGGAGTATTACGTATACTCTGCATGAAATCTTCACAATTAGAAGTTAAAATTGTGTTACTTTATGGTGACCTTTACCATGATATTCCTGACCTTTGATTTTTGTCTTTTTCTCTGGTGATCTTACCGATGGTTTTCCAATTCCTTCTCTCCACACAGGCAAATGTAGCTTTGTTTTTGGGGGGCCTGTTAACATATATTGTGTAGGGAGGCTTCTACATTAAAGAAGGTGACTGCATTATGAACATTATCACCTATATCAGAATGTGAGTGCTGATCCAGCAAGAAAGCAAAACAAGTTCAGGGCTCCAGCTGTCTAAAATCTTTATCAGACAGTGGCAATTGTTGTGGATGATCCATAGCTAAAATCCCATCATTTTATTGTTCATATGTTTCAAAATGTCTTGATTAAAAGCTCCGAAATCAAGAGCCAGAGGACATGTTTCTATTAAAAAAGTGGATTTTAGTCAGTGCCTTTAGTGGGATCACATATCTTATTTCAGTCTTTGTAGAGCACTCTCTTGTGTACTAGAGACCACGAGCTCCCCTCGGTCCTGCCCTGCCCCTGCGCAGCGCAGTGGCCCCACAGGCCTCCACACACCGGGGGAGCCCAAGGGAAGAGCATTTTAGCATAGGACAGGGCAGGATCAAAAGCAGGAAATCCACCTGCTAAAAACCCATCTCTCTGCTGGGAAGTGTCATGAGCTTCTGTTGCTCTTTTCAAGTTCTGACTTCAATGGGAGTAGAACTGAACACAACCTGGGTAAACACAGGGCTGACTGTTGACGTGGGCCAATGTGAGTAAACAGCACAAAAGTAATTTGGTGTTTTATCCCAGCATGTGCTGAGCCATTATCTGGTGTTTGCTATGGAAGACAGTTTCAGCTGAAAAACCTGGTAACACAGTAGGCTATTAATAGGATGTAGAAAGTGATTACGTTTTTTGGATTACTGCAATATGTGATTACTTTTAGGAGTTAGTATAAAGAAACTCTATTAAATGATAATTATAGGACTGTATTCACTTTAAAGTTCTGTAATAGACTCAAACATTGGAGTTTTCACTAACTATTCTCCACAGTTAATAAAGCCATTTTTCTTTACAACTAGCAATTCCCTGAAAAAGCAGTGGCATGCTATATAGACTACTCGAATTTACAACTGAAAAGAGAAATCTTAAACGATCATGTAAATTGTTTGATTTGAAAATGGTAACAGTCTCTCAGAAAAGTTTTTTTATATATATACATCTGGAAATACATAGAATTTTAACTTTTTTACTTTGCTCTATACTGTAACTTATTTTAAAAAAACAAACAGAAATAGTTTATATCACTGCACTAAGGATTGCATAAAAATGAGGGAAAGACAGAATGGAAATGGATGGATTTCATTACACTATTCATTTCTTAAACATGAAATTATACAGGAAGATTCAATCCTTTAATACCATCTTGTTGAAATAACCTTTTGCAGTATTGTCGGGTACAGTCACTACATTCAACTGACATAATAATTTCCATTACAAAACATTTTTATCTGGGTCAAATTTGTCATTAAAAAAAGAATGGATTTGCTGCATATGGAAATGAAGGATTAATGGCATTGGCTGGTGTCAGGAACCATAATACGATTTGCCTGCAGCTGTATCAGAGAATCTAAATTCTGACCTACGCTTCCTCTGTTAGATTATAAAATCTAATCCATTTTCAGTTTGATATGGTGACCGTAAAACATATTCTAAATTGAAACTTAGCCTCAGGGTCTCAAGGAAAGAATACCTTTTTATTTACTTCTCTAAAAATATATCCATCAGTTTTAAAAAACTGTGTTTTACTGCTTTAAAGAGAATAAATATATCTGCTCTCCACTGAAACATTTATTAATTGCTTATGTATGTACAAGTGTCAAGCACCAGGCAACAGTATTACTTTGATCCTTCAAGAATAACAGAAATTTTGTTTGGGAACTCTGATGATAATTACCCTCACTTCAGATGTGACAGGAGATACAAAGTATGCCACAACATAACACTTGAGAAAAAGAAGTTGTTGCTGAAATAATGTATCTGGAGTATGTTGCCTTTTGTACTTCTGGCAATACAGAACAAATACTTTGGATTCATTATTTAGACCAGTTCAACCAAGTTCTACATTTCAGAAAACACTCAACTTTCCTTCAAACATTAAAGCTTGCTAAGGTAAACTGGTTTCTTAGAAGCCGAAGCAGTTTTTTCCCTGTTCAGGAAAATAACAAATGAACATTTAATGAGATTATCATATTGATTATAATTAAATAAATAGAATATATAGGCTGAATCTGTCTTTATTCTGTTTACCCCCCACTGGCTTTCTCAAAGTCTGGCAAATAAGGTTCACTGATGCTATTATATTAGATGATCAAGTAAGTTTTGATATTCATTCATTTTGCCTGCAACTTTCTTACATCTTGACATCAATCTGAATGCAAGACTATGCTGTATTTCAAGAAGATAAAGTTGTTAAGGGGATCAGGATACCCATATCTGGACACATACTCAATCTAGGTACATTTCACAACAGAAATCCCAATAAAGATTGGGATCTACAAAAGATTAGAGTGGCAGTGATTTGATTCCATTAGGAATCTAGCCCATGTATCTTGTGATCTGTAATTAAAAAAACCTACCAAGCAGGAAACGTGAGCAAATACAAGCAACCTAACAATTTTCCCACCTCAACTAATACTAGCTTAGTAAGTAGTTTTCTCTAAATCCAGCAGATCTACCAATTACATTTAGTGAATGGTTTTGTCAGTGTTTTTTACCCTCTTCCTGGGAGGCAAAATAGCAGTGGTTTGTTGTTTTGTTGTTTTTTTTTTCTTGTAGGGTATTATTATGTAATATAAAATATGTATTCAAGAAAATTATACTGAGTTAAAAAACTATATGATTCCAAGAACATCCTTGTATTCCAGCTGTATTTTTTCTGCTTTCCTCCTCTAAGCCTCTGCAAAACAGGCACTCTATCAAAGTTAATGAAAATGCTGTTGCATGACATTATGTTGGTCATTAGTCTTCCTTTGTAATTTCTTTGGACACTACTATGGAGGGAATCTTCATACAAACCTCTGTTGTCTCTGAGTGTAAAATTTCGATTTTGAATAATTTCAGGTGGTAAACTGAAGATAAATCTTGGTCCATTGGCCGAGTCATCTTTGTCATCAGCACTAATTGTAATAAATTGCTGTAAAAGAAAAGTACTCTGTAAACAAACAGCTCCGTCTCTGGTTACATCACATGTAGACAGCATTCTGAGTAATCCTTGAATTTTGAAATAGCAGAAACCCCCCAGACACCTTAACAAATCTATGCAACTATAAACACTGAGCAGACTCAAAACTTTATCAGACAATCTTTATTTGCCATTACATTTAACTAACTAATTTTAGAAGGAAAAGTATACACTATATATGCATTCTTATATACCTATATGTGTTAATGATAACTTAGGAGACTAAATAAAATTATGCAGAAAATTTGGCAGCTCAGAAGGAGTTACCAAAACATCCTTTCCAAAATGCTATACTAACTCCAAAAGTGCACATACTGTGTACAGCCATAATTCTGTATGCTACTAACTTCTCTTCCTCACATACAGTTTAGGGATAAATCTGCAGGCTGAACCCTCCAAGCACTGTACTGGGAAAGCTGCTCCCAAATAGCTTTGTGGCCCATGTGATGGTGAATACTCAGAATCAACAGCAGTTATATTCAATGCACAAAGCCCCACATCTATAACTGTTGATAGAAATAAAAAATAAAAGCACAGGAAAGTGCCTTTCTGTGTGCTCTGGGCATTCTGGCCAAAATTGCAAACTATACATTCATTTACTACTACTCATTTAAGCTGCCAACATCAAACTGGGCTAACACCCTGAAGAAATCCATGTGCAGGAAAGGTGGTGGGTATGGACATACCTGGTTGCTTTGAGCATTCTCACAGACAAATGCTTCGTAGGCTGCTGCAAATTTTGGAGCATTGTCATTGACATCAACAACCTTAATTGCAACTGGAACTTTGGCTTCCTGGTGTTGTTTGTCTATGGGTGTAAGCAAAACCAAAATGAAACAGAAGCAGGAAACACTCTCAAAACAAATAAAATCCCAGCTGTATCCAGGTAAAACCAAGATAGGCTAGTGCAGCTTATCAAACTGAGACAATGAGAAGACTATAGAATTTATACCATTGATTAAAAAATATATCAGTGAAATACTTACGGACTTCAACTGCAAAGACAGAGATATTATGCCAAGCAATTTCTTCCCTATCCAAAGCTTTTATTGTCTTGATATTGCCATCTTCTGCATTAATAATAAAATATCTTTCAAGGTCAGTGTGACGATCAATTGAATATCTAAAGAAAATTGCAAGTCAGTAATTAGATAAAAGAAGAACTTCATAGTTTATTGCATTCACATTTTTTGTATATTATTATTTTTAAATAATCATAAGAAGTACACTTATTGTTGTAGTGAAGATAATTGTCACAGGGATGATATGCAGTTCTTTTAAAAGGAGATTCATGTGGTTGGTTTCTACATTTAGAAAAAAAATTATGTTAGAATGTTTGTAGTAAGTGAAAATTATTGTTCTTTGAAGTCTCTGTGTTAAAGCCCCAAATTGATTTTTATTTTGTACTCTTATAAAAATGATAAAAAAAATCAACTGAGATATTTATGTTTTCTTCTGTTTCACATTAATTATTAAGATCTTTTAAGTCTTCTGATCTTTGGATTATGCAGAATATTAACTGATTATACCAGGTTATTAAATGTTGTCCATCATCTACACATTTGCACAGCTTTATACAGCTGTTTTTACAATCTTTACCTTGCAATTCTTTTGAAATTATAACTATATCCACAAAACAGAGGATTTAATTTACACTGAAACATTACAAACAACAATAAATTAATGGAAGGCTACCCAATATTACTGCAGAGAGTAGGTGTGTGTATGTGCTTGTTGTTAGTAATTGACAGTTAACAATTACCCAACATAATCTCTAATCTACTATGTAGACTTGTCTCTTTTGAGAAGAAAACATGCTGTGATAAGAGCTTAGGATATTTTATGGAAAATATAACTTAGAATAGAGTCTAACAGAGATGTCCTTCAGTATATTTTAGGTATACATAGCTATGATATGCTTTCTTAGTGATACAGGCTTTGAGAAACTAGTAGTTAATGGAATAAGACATAAAACAATGCTGAATGATTAAAGATATTAATATTCTGGTTGAATTTAGAGTATTACTATGCTAGATCTATCATACTATCTTAATAACTTGCATCAGAATTCTAAAAGCTAATGCTTAGAAAGAAAGAGCCAGCTCTAGTTAAGCGTACCGTATAGCACTGTTAGCAGCATCAGGGTCTTTGGCATGTACTTTTCCAACCACAGTACCAGATGCTGCATTTTCTTGTACTTCAAAAATATAACTTGGCTTTAAAAATACAGGTGGCTCATCAGCATCTTCCACTGATATCTTCACTGTGACTGTGTCCTTGAACGGCCCATTGCTGATGAACTTAGGATCAATATGTACATTGGCTGCCTCTACCTTCAGACTGTAGGACTTTTTGGTTTCAAAATCTAAGAGCTGTGAGAAACAAGGAGACAAGAATGCATCCTGCAGTTAGGAAAGCTAGAGTGTAAAAGCAGTAAGCAGTTCCCTGTTATTCAATGACATAGAACAAATGTGAGCATCTGTCAACAAGCTTGGACTGAAATGTGTGTATTTAAAAACATAGAGACTCAAATGGAAGGAGCTACATTCTATGTATGGAGCAGCATAGGATGGCACTTTAAAAAAAGCAACAGTCTTTGCTTCCTTTATCATAGAATCCTAGAATCCTGGGGTTTGGAAGGGACCTCAAAAGATCATCTAGTCCAACCCCCCCCTGCCAGAGCAGGGTCACCTAGAGTACATCACACAGGAATGCATCCAGGTGGGTTTTGAATGTCTCCAGTAAAGGAGACTCCACAACCTCCCTGGGCAGCCTGTTCCAGTGCTCTGTCACTCTCACAGTAAAAAAAAAAATTAGGATATTTACCTTGAACCTCCTATGCTCCAATTTGCACCTATTACCCCTTGTCCTATCACTGGTCATCACTGAGAAAAGCCTAACTCCATCTCCCTGACACTCACCCCTTACATATTTGTAAACATTGATGAGGTCACCCCTCAGCCTCCTTTTCTCCAAGCTAAAGTGACCCAGCTCCCTCAACCTTTCCTCATCAGGGAGATGTTCCACTCCCTTAATCATCTTTGTAGCTCTGCGCTGGACTCTTTCGAGCAGTTCCCTGTCCTTCTTGAACTGAGGGGCCCAGAACTGGACACAATACTCTAGATGTGGCCTGACTAATGCAGAATAGAGGGGAAGGAGAACCTCTCTTGACCGACTAACCACACCCTTTCTAATGCACTTTATTACTCAGGAAATAATCTTTACTGGGAAAATTAACCTTTTCTTCATGCAGCCTTACAGGCAGCACAAAGCAGCAATGGCTAGGAAGGGGGTTCCCACAAAACGCCAGACTTGATTTATCCCCAAGATGGAGGGTGTTCCTTTAGAGGTATGGATGTGGCTTGGATTCCTACTGGGTGCACCATGAGACTGGACAAAGAGAAGTTAAAATATTTCAGTAGTGGGGGAAATATGAAGATGGTTTGCAGTGCTTTCATTTCTGTAGTCCTTTCCATCCAAAGATCTCACAGCACTTTACAAAGGGGAGGTGAAATAATGCCCCATGAGATAAGTCCTTTTGGGAGCCCAACCGAAGTCAAAGCACTGCTGCACTGTCATGGACACAAAATGGCTGCAGTGTTGTGGTAGCCTCACAACAATCAGATTTCTAAACATCTGAGAAGCAGGTGCCAACCACAATTCACAAAGTATGCTAACACCATAGACTGAATGGTGTGCCAGTTAACCCACATTTTAAAATACACTCCCACCTCTAGAACAGATACAGTAATTGAACCACAGCATAGTTTTACCAGAGGAGACCTCTGGGTCTCTTCCTGAGAGATTGCCCCAGTGCACAGGGCAGGGCTAACTTTGAAGTTAAGTCGTTCAGGCCATCTGCCTGGAGTTTTGATTATCTCCAAGAGAGATGAATAGCTATAAAGACACAAAGGGCAAAATAATACTGCTTAAATAATGAATATAATTTATAATTTGTAATTTCAGTGTCATTCAATAACACTTTTAAATATCACATTGATGGATTACATATGAAATCACTTTGGTATTTTTGCTGCTTTTCACATAGCCTGTGACTCCTTCAGAACAATATTGTGGACAATGCACAGCTGAATAATTCAAACTATAGGGCGTGAGGCTGTCCAGACCCAACATAAAGCAACAGTGAATGTCTGCTACTTATCAGCACTAGGCAAAACTTCATTACCAATGAAGCTGATGGCATTGATTGTATTTTACCGTGACTTTTTATTATGAATTCATTTAGTTTGTGCAATTAATCCACTGTACAGTATTTATGTAACTCTTCTTGGTTATTTTCTTCCATTCCAATTCAGCTAATGGGGAAATGGAATATAGAGTTAATCACAGCTTTAGAAACAAAATAACTGAAATTGCATTTACTGATATTTTAGCTTAGGTGGTAATGCATCATTACTAAATATTCTGTCAGCAACAAATAATACTACACATTAGTAGGTGTTACTCACTTTCTTAAGCTTCACAACACCTTCTTGAGTCTCATAATCTGTTGTAATTTCAAACATATCCATGCCATCTCCATCAATGATGCTGTAAGCTACTAAGCCATTTTCCCCAATGTCTGGATCTTTGGCCTTCACTCTTCCTACTTCTTCTCCTGGGACAGCTGCTTCTGACACTGACATCTGGTACACACCTGGTGGCAGAAAAAAAAAAGGCATTTGCCTTAAGTATGCAGTCTGCTCTCCAGTTGTATAGTTACTCGTTGAACTTGTTCCAAATAAACACAGTAATTTTTTATATTTTTAAAATCCCCTGAAGGAACATTATGTTTTAAAGAACTCTGAGAACCAAGTCCTCCCTGAAATCTTATAACATATTGCTAATCTATATAAAATTACTTCTTCACTGATGTTTTACACATCCGTGTATCTCTCTGTTCAGGGTGGGGTTAAAAAGACAACCAATTATTTCAAATACAGAAACTGTTGTAACATCGAGGTTATCACTCATATCAGAAATGTTACAAAAATTAAAGGAAAATTCTATTTCATATGACTCATAGCATGACCTTCAACCATCTAGAATCCAGACGCATTTCTGCTCATTCATTCAAGAGCCACAAATTATATACAACAAATTGGATAAGACCTCCCTGCTGTACCGGCAGAAGAATCAATCTGCTGCTTTCTATGGCTTTAATTTGGAGTGTGAACATATAGTAGCAATGATTATCAAAATTTAACGCAGCGGAGAATACATGCCAATTTGTACAGGGTTCCACACCATACAAATAATGGCTTTTCCTCATCAAACTCCATTAGGAAGACCACCCCCAAACATCCCAGAGCAGTGTTGCCATACAGGTTTTCCCTTGTGCCTTGAGAGACACCAGAGGAGCGCAATATGTTCCTGGATAAATCTTTCTCCAACAGTTGTCCTTTAGGCTGCATTGATTCCAGGACCTTCCCAACCCACTCCAGAGTTCAGATAACATAACTTGATCCTAAATATACAAATCTGTGTCAGCATTTTCTGTCACTTCATCAGCATTAATAAATTGGAGGGGAAAAAAGCATGAGAAAATAAAATAACCTTATTTATCCTCCCCTTCGGTAATTGTTCTCTGTTGCTACACAAGCACCCTAGGAACATCAGGAGATTTACACCAGGCAGGGACTGGCTCATTACCCATAAAAACAATTGGCACTTGTAATTGAAATAGGTAATTAACTCCAGTCAGAAAGAAGGCAAAATTTAAGCACATAACTCATTAAAGGTCTGAACAATGAACAAAAAAAAACAACTAACCAACCAACAAAAAAAAAAAACCAAACCAAACAACCCCATAAAACCAAAAAACACCAAACAAACAAATAAAAAGAAGAATGAAAAAAATCCATCACATAGATATTTATATGAACAGGTCAAATCATCGATTTGATTTATGAAGTATTCCAAATTAGGGTTAGTTGGGGTGAATGACTACTGGAAGAGGGTAGATTTATATATTAGATACTAGAAATAAAATCTTCACTATGACGGTGGTGAGGCACTGGAACAGGTCGCCTGGGGAAGCTATCGGTGCTCCATCCTTGGAAGTGTTCAAGGGCAGGTTGCATGGGGCTTGGAGCAACCTGGTCTAGTGGAAGGTGTCCCTGCCCATGCAGGGGTTTTGGGTCTAGATGAAATTTAAGGTCCTTTCCAACCTAAACCATTCTGTGATTCTAAAATTAAGTAGAGTAACTGCTGTTTGGCATTTCTGGTAATTTTAAATATTCTCCTATAACACCCAGTAAGGTAGCCTTAATTTGCGGAAAATAATCCATTATTTGATGAAGTTACTCCACAAAATACCATGTCTAGGGTTATGATTTGGAGAGAAAAGGTGTATTTGTGAGGTATATAAAACATGAAATTTTTAGGATTTAATACTTTCTTATTAGAATGGTGGAAAGTGCTGACATATTTTTTACATGTAGGGACTGGCTATCTCATTTAAACTCTTGCGAGACAGTCCAGGAGGTTGTGATGCTGGAAGAAGAGCTGTTAGAGAGAGGGTCATGTCCAGCATGTATCAGTGTCATAATGGTTGCTCAGAGGAGAAACAGCTTGGGATAAGATGGCACATACGCTGCACTCCAAATAACCCCCCAGGCAGAGATGAGATGCAGAACAGATGTGTAGGTCCATTAATGTACTTCCACCCATCTGTGAAGACTGAATCTGTTAATGTCAGCTCTGATTAATTTTATATGTGAAAAACAAATAGCACAGGTATTAAAAATTACTTTTTGACCATCGACTATATATTTTAACCATCAATTTAACAATGTAACTGTACTAAATTTGGTTTATATTGCAATGGTAAATATTTATACTTGAGGAGTATCCAGTATTAACTTTTATCCTTATGAACATTCACCATTCACTGAGAATGTTTATAGAAGTAAAGGATGAAGTATCAACAATTAAAATGAAAGGCTGTGTGAAATAAATGTTGCTCACTCACTTGAAGGTTTGCCAAAGACCTGAAAGGGTGTAATCAGGATCCGATTAGTAGATTATGCAATCCTTTCATCAAGAGACAAGAAAAGCAAGAGACTTGAAACATGAGAAATACAGCTGTAAGAACCTAAGTATTTCTCCTGTCCTTTGCCCAACTTCATCAAAAGAACAAAGTGGATTTTTTAATTGAAATTTGCTATCATAACTATGTTTGCAAATAGCTATGGACTTGGAGCACTGAAAGGTGTGACGTGAGGCCATTTGGAGACTTCCTTCAAACACTGTCAATGTAACTGGAGGGCTTTCTGCTGTATACACACTATGTGACAACTGCATATTGCAACTCTCCCACTACAGCAGACTCTGCTCCTACACAATACATGACGGGATTTTTGTGGTAACCTTCTCCCTATTTCCCCACAATGACCTCTTAAATGTCTTGTGCTCTGAGCAGAGTAGCAAACACAGCTTGCTTTTTAAAGTGTGTTTTACATCCACACTATAATCATGACAAAAGGAAAGGAAGTAAACCAGTTTATTTCAGCACTGGTGCAGGAGACATCAACATTTTCTAGAATTTTTGACTGGTATGGTTTTAACACACAAGAGACCCCCCAGGAAATGGGCTTTCTTTCTCCATTAAAAGAGAAGTCCAGACTTCCTGATAATATCATAGGTAGATTTATAATATAACATGGTTCAGAAGTTTAAAAAATGTAAGTGTAGGTTTAGGAATCTTCATAATCCAATCTTGAACTTAAAAAAAGAGTCTCCCTTTGCTACACAAAACAAATAATCAGGATACTAAAGCTCTATATGTTACTAGAAAAAATATGTAAATAATACGTATTCTCATGTGCTGTAACAATCCAGCAGTTATTGCTTTTTGAAGTTTTGGATATGGCCAATAATACACAAATATGGGTACTGAGTAGTAAATATGACTAAGGATTCTGTTACTTACTCTGTGGGAACTTTGGTGGGTTGTCGTTAACATCTGTGAGTGTAATTGTCACTTTGGTTGTCCCTGAAAGGCCTCCCATGTGTCCTCCCATATCTTTTGCCTGTATTACAACGTGATACTCTTCCTTAGCTTCTCTGTCCATATTTGGAAGGGCAGTTCGAATAATTCCTGCAAATACAAAGAAAATGTGGCACATACAAATTTTCACAGCTTCACGTCACCAAAAGAATGGCTACTGCATTTTTAGTTTGCATTAAAATACTGCAATATTTGCAGCGATGATGCACATTGTTTTTTCTACACTTTGCATTGTGCTATGCAGGGACAGTAGCCTAAATATTCAACATACCTGGACACAGAACAACCCTGGAGAATTACAGTTCAGCACAGAAACTGCCATTTCTATCATACCATATTATACCACAAAAGAAATAGTATAATCTTTCTAGTGTGCACCCAGGAGACAAACCTGCAAAAGTGCTTAGCTAGAATCAAGAGAGAATGAAGGAAGTTTTGCTCAAACACATTAGCAGATATACCCAACTGTACTGCCTCAGTCAATATGTTTAGTTCTTCATTGTAAAGCATTCTAGTTATGAGGTCCTACTCAAATAAAATGCTCAATAATACCTGTTTGAGCTTCCACTGAGAAGTACGGCTGACCTTCAAGAATACTGTAAACCAATTTGGCACTGTTCCCATAGGTAGGATCATCAGCATCTGAAGCTGTTACCTGAATAACTGATGTACCTAAAAATGAAAAGCAAATGCAGAGGGAATACAGTCAGAGCAAACATGTCTGTAAGAAGCGTGCAGAGATGCTGTCAGTCATATGGCATAACAACTTCTTAACTTTTTTATTACCAGGTTTGGTAAATGAAAAAATTTACTTGGCAATTTATATATGACAAAATAGACTCATACAATCCAAAAGGATTGGTCACCAGTTGTGATGTGGATTAATGTTCTAAACAGTGAAGATATAAAAGTCACTCTGTACCATTGTGGCTTTTTTCCTTAGTAGTTTGTTATATTGCTTTGTCTTTCGATAGCCAAACAACAGAGTTTTCTTTTTCGTTTTTCCTCAGTAAGTTTCAGAGGAATAATTCCTGCAGAAATCTCTAAGCTAGACACAAGCTCAAACAGGACATGAAAAAGGAATAGGCAGTATGGCAGTAATTCCTTAGCTTTATTACACAGCTCTGCCAAAGGTATGATCTTGATGTTTACCCCAGAGGATTCACACTCCATAAATTCCAGGGGAACCTCACATTCCTCCTAGGAGCAAACAGTCCTGTTCTAAAAGCCATCTAGAGACATTTCAACCATCAGTAAGTAGCTGCGCAGGGTTTGATTTGGTCAGCAAATCAAATATATTGACTGAGTCACTGGCTGAGCATGAAGTGTTACTTCCTGAATTTCTAGACTATAAGAATTAAATAAAGCCAACACATACTGACAATGCAACATCTTCCATAAGGCCAGGAACTTAAGTGCATTTGTGAGTACTTACCTACATTTGATCTCTCTGGCACATTGGCATGGTAGTTTTCATGAAGAAACTCAGGTGGGTTGTCATTTATATCTTGAACTTTAACAATGAATTCAGAAGGGGGTTCCAAAGGTCTGTTAGTGTTCCTATCTACAGCTTGTGCCGTCAGAGTGTACTGAGCTCTCTCCTCCCGGTCCAGTGTCTTTGTTGCATGGATGTTCCCTGATTTGTCATCGATAACAAAAATTATTCCGGCTCCTTCACCTGAGAGAATGTATTTAATATTTCCATCTCCAGAATCAATATCTGAATGAAGCTAAAAAAAAATGAGAAAAAGACATACCTTAACAAGGAGGTATACATTTCATGTATGTGTTTACAAAACAAAGTAAGTTAATGAAATCACTATCATGTCATAGTTTTCAAAACTCTTGTATCAGGCAATAATCCCTACTCAGGTCCACACTGTGAGCATATGTGCCCTGCATTTAGAGAAGCTGCCTTCACAGACTTGAATGTCACCACATGCAGGGTGCTGCTGAGACCTGATCTTTAAGTTTGAAGGAAGTGAGTGCATGAGAAGATAGTTATAACAGGGTCTTTATTCAAATGAAGTTGAAAGTGTCATTTTTTAAAAGATTTTGTACACTTCATACTAATCATATTCTACTAGGTTGCATGAAAAAGCTGTTAAGCGACAAATGAGATGTAACAAATGAGCCAGTCAGTGATTGCCAACTAGTTTTTAATTACGACCTCTTATTATAAAATAAGTAACAAATGCTTGCTAGACATTCTTACATTCACAACCAATAAAAACTTCTATTTGATGTATGAAGGAAATGTTGAACCAAATTACAGATTTACTGATTTTATATTGACATCTATGAATTTCACAGTACTAAGCATCTTTTAAACTAGAATAGCTAGAATGGTATTTGCTGTCTTTGATCCTGTTCTCCACTCTTTTGTGCTGAGGTTAAGTCAGCACAGTCGTGCTGACCATTTATAAACTGACAAATCGTACTGTTTTGTTCATGTACTTACATTCTGATAGCATTAGACAGTAAGAATTAAGACATCAGTCCAGGATGTGCACATAGAAACCTTCTATACATCCCCTACGTAGTTAATTTTAATGATGGCTTGAAAATGAAAGGATGAGATACTATTGGACAGTACACTTCCTGAGCTGCTGGCTTAGCCACTAAATTTTTAATTACAATTTTAAAGACCCAAGAATGATACTACATATTCTTGAGACATACTGTTGCTCTGGTTCTTTCAGTGGTGTTCAATAACAGCTTGTACACCTTTACTTAAAGACTGCTGAGGTCAGTGGAAAAATTTGTATTCACTCAGGTAGTATTTTGCTTAGTATTTCCTTGAGCTACAACAAAATGGTTATGTCTAGGTGAGTAAGTAGCTGCCGAAGAAGCAGCTAATAAACCAGAAAATTAAGAGCAAGGAATAAAGCAGTAATATAAATAAAAAATAATACAATATATATTATATAAATAAATAATTTAAAATTGATGGATGAAAAAGAAGTTCTTTCTTACCCTTCCTACTAGTACAGGATCTGGTCCTGTGTACTCTTCTATAACAAAGAACTGATTCCACACCCAGCCTCTTTTTGAGCGATGCAGAACTTGTCCTTCTTTTCCTTTTTCGTGGTGACCATGAAGCGATGGCCTTGCGTGGTTCAGTTTTTCTGTAGTTATGGCATGGCTGTAATACAACATGCCCAGGCAGATAAGGGCAGCATGTAAACAATTGTCCTCCTTCATTTTTGGTTATTTTGTAGGCACAGGAGTATCCAAGAATCTACCCCTTCCACCTTGGAAATCAAAAAGTTTGGGGCTGCTGAAAAATGTCAGATAAAATGTTCTGCACATAGGATGACACCACACATTAAACTCATCACTTTAATGGTCTGCAGCTTCCCAACTTAATTCCTGAAAGAAAGTAAAATGGAGAAGGTTTTCAGTTCCTTTATGTCTTTGAGGCACAATTGTTTCTTTATTAACCAAAATAAAACTACGTCTACCTTGGAAAATTTTAAAATACAAAGTTGATTAAAATATATTAATAATAAGAGTAATGATTATATTTGGTGTTTTGTTACATGCAACTGCCACCATGTAAAATCTCCAGACTCACTGCTTAGGACACTCATTTGGAAGCTGAAAGATAGAGAATCATATTCCTCATGATCCTTCCAAATGGATTTAGTCCAAGATGCAAGCTAACTGCAGAAATACCTAATTTATATCTAAGCCCTCTTTGGAGCTTAGATATAAGCCCTGGCCATAAGTTAAGCCATAGGTTTAGATAGATACCAAGATACTTGCTTATCAAGAATGAAATATTTCTAGACATGCCTGGAAAAAGGCTTTTTTATTACCAACAGATTTTCATGCTGAAAATAACTACCTAGGTTTTTCTAGACAGGAGCTTTGGCTGACAGAACTCTGAGGACCTTACATTTTGATGCAGACCCTTGAAGAAGTAGATCTTCTACCTCCCTCTCAGGGTCAAGTCATCACAGCAGAGAAGCAGCATTGATTCCCAATCCTGCTGCCTTTGTGCTGCTGTCGATAAAAGTCATAAAACAATAAAGCCATACACAGATACTTCTGATAATAACAATTGATTTAGCTATTTATTCCTGCTTTCCCTGTGATTAAAATTAGCAGAATTATATAGATTTCTTACTTTCAAATGCGTCTTAAAACAGTAGGTCAGAATTAATATTTGAATCAGAAATTGCATAATATAGCAAAACTTGCTTAAGATCTGAATCTCCAGCAGCTAACAATCCATCATAAAGACCACTTTGACTTATCCCTGGAGGTTTCCAATATATTCTCTTTCAATCTTTACAGAACAGCCAATTTTTAAACAAGGTCCCTACAATGTTTGTTTCAGCCTTAAGTGTCATTCACATTAGTCTTCTGCAAGATACTAATAAAAGCCTCAATGTTATTTTCATACAGGTATGTGTATAAATTTATGCTACCATCTTCATTAAAAACAGAATGATTCTTTAATGAGAAATAAGGAGATCTTACACATAGTATTTGTAGCAGACAAAATGTGAATATAGGGAAAATGTTCAACCTACATCACATTCTATAACTCCAGCAACAGATACGCTCAGTAGCACCAAACCAACTAATCCTGGGATGATTTTCCTCAAATCTTGAGCAATCATGTTCACTATCCACATCCCTTTGCACAGTTACATAAAAATAAACACTGTAACATTGACAGGCTTATACATGAGCAATTCATAAATAAGGAATTAAATATTTGTTTTTAATTCCTAAAAAAAGGTAAATGTTTATTTTTAATTTATTGAAAACGGAAATTATCTCTTATTACAATACCACAATGGCTCCTGCCTAACTAATGAAATGAAAGTCACACATACAGATCCAACCATAATCTGGCCCTCCTGAGCACCCATATTAAGTACAATCTTTGGTGTATCTTTTTTTTTTTTTTTCCTATTATTATATAATGGCACAGTACAGATGATTTGTACTAGCATAGAAGACATTAAAAAGAAAACAATCTCTATTGTTTTGGTCAGGAAAATGCTTTTATTCTGACACGTGTGTGATGTGTGGAACACTGGGTCTGTGTTTTTAGAGCTTACTTTCCATCTCCATTTTGTTGAGGGGTACAAATAAGGCAGGACCTGATGGACCTGAAAACTGAGATTTAAGACTAGTTATTATAGTAGCTTTATATCATGATAGTTACCTCTAAAAGTAGACTTCCCCCCCCCTCATTTTGCATAGAAATAATAACATTTAAGCCTCTAGTATGCAGTATTTATTTACCAAGCTTTACTATAATTTCACTTTATTAAAGCATGGTAAGTTTTTTTAAATACAAACCATCAAATTCAGTACTCATCTCACAAATAGGAAATGAGTTACTCTGTCCTGCTCAGTAAACACCTCTGGATTTACTTCCTTGTGGCAGGTGTAAATTTAATGCCATAGTGAGCAGGCTCTGAGGTTACCTCTTCTGGCTGCTTTGTCTACAGACACATACTGATGTAACCAAATTCTATGTATTAAGGCTAGTTCAGTCTGCATCATAATTGCATTCAGTTAATCAGTGATACTGCTGTTACAGATGCAGTTTGCCGTGGAGTGTCCTTTGAGGCAAATACTTATCAACGCCATGCCCAGTATAGCTAACGGCGCTGGGCCAGTGCACTTGCTGTAGGGATCTGTGGCGTGGTGCTCGCCTGCAGCAGTGAGGGATGCTGGGGCTCCCTCAGCTGTTAAACGGGGCCTACCTGCTCCAAACAGAATTGAAAAAGGAAGGCACACCGAGACAGTTTGCATTTTTAAACCCGCTGTGAAAAAAAACACAACAAACAAACAAAAACACCAAAAAAAAGCCCAAACAAAACCACTAAATTGCTTACATTAATAGATTTTGGATGCATTTGAAAATTAACCTAACTGATAATTATTCTTCATTAACATCACATAATGATCTCAACAATGAAAATAAGTAAACAAATACAACCATTATTCCCAGACTTCTCAATACTGTTATGTAAATCAGCAAACACTTTACAAACATGTTTAACAATAATGGAAGAGCAAAGCTGATACATATGGTGCTTATTATCAGATACTCAAGTGTGAAGTGCTGGAAACAAAACATTAATCACACATCTATGATTAAATTGCTAATAAGTATTTAAAGCAAAAATAGTTTGCTACTTTTTGCTTTATTCTCTGCGGGCACCTCTACAGAAAGGAAGCAATAAGGCTACAAGTCTTCAAGGTAAAGAAAACTATTATCACTCATCCACTACTTGAGCTAAAAAAAAAATCACTATGGCTGTTTATGGTAATTGCTTCTGGTGTGAGTTATAATGCCAAAGGACTCCATGCTAGTACTACCAATTTGGCTCTTTAGTAAGTTACCCCCAGCTAGCCAGGCCACAATTAAAGCTCGAGCTGCAGGCAGCACTGTCTCCCTGGCCATGTCCTGCCTCTCACACCTTCTCCCTTCCTGTTCATTTACACAGTGGCTGCCACAGCAGTTGGCCCTCTGACTCTTACTGGCATAAGAAAAGAATGAATCAACAGGGTTCTGCTGAAGTCTATGAAATTACATTCAAAACAGTTACAGTTTTTTTATAAACTACTTTCTCCTAAAAGGCAAGGTGCAGAAGATGCTCTTAAATTAAAGCTAAAATAAACTTCAATAAAAAAACAAAGCAGTATTATTAACAAGAAACTAGACCTTTTTTAAAATTTATTTTTTTTTCAGAACAATCTGCTTAAAACCTTTCAAACATGTTAATGTGCACTTAGCTGCTGTAAACCTACAGTTTCCAACTTCTTCAAGCTGAATATTTGGAAAAAAACAGCTAAACAATTTATAAAGCAATTCACATTCTCTTGTGGAAAAATACCTCACAATCCCATAACCATGGAATCCAGATCTAAGGACAGCAATTGCTGCAGCTGACTGGACTGCTGCTCTGGTGAGTGTCTGCAAATTCTCTACAGGCAGCACTTTTATTCTGACACTGCTCACTGCTACACAACCAGGAAACCCTCAGAATCATTTGCTGGGAATGGTTCTAGTCTCTTTTTAAAAGTCACAATCACACACCCTCAACATTACTGTTATTTCTGCACACAGATTTCATTCCTCATCTACAGCAAAGCAAATCTCAGTGGGCAGTTGACCAAACAGCACCATCCCAATTTTTTCCATTGTTCATTAGAATTGCACAACATATCATTCTAAAATCCTAAATTTTCCTAAGAAATTCGTAAAAAAATATGTCTTCCACTACCTCAAACATAGTGGATACCAGGTATGAAATAAGATGGGCTTTTTCGCCAAAGGAATAATTGCATTTACATATTTTAACTTCATACAAGCAAATTTAGGTAATTTTGGTATCAAATAATAGCTCTATCAGGGATAAAGAGAAAACAAGAGTTATCCACCCATCACACAAGATCAAATCACATCAGAGAGGCACATGGACACAATGAGATTCCCAAATACCACCCATGAAAGTCGATCAGTTGAGGTATTTAGGACTGAGAATGTTAAAACAATATCTAGCCCACACTCTGAAAAACAGCATCCACAGTGTGATGCATCCACAATGATCTCTCTAGCTGTGAGAATGTGCTGTTGGGGCACTTCGAGCTACATAGATAATATGCCTATGTTTGGATTTGCAGTTGCTACTTGGTACTGGAAATGCAAAGATAATACATTTCAGTTTCAACATAAGAAAAGTTTGTTCTCCTACCATTAGAAAAAAAAATCAATATTCCTAATGGAAAGATGCTATTCAACTAATAACAACCTACCATAAACCTGAAAAATAATACAACCATGTCCACAGACTGTGGCTTGGAGTAAAGCCAGGGTCTTGACTGCTCCACAACACCTCAACTCCACTTGTCTTGCTCATCTTCACACTGCAAGACCGCAAAGTGCAGAGCCTCAGCATGCAGCACAGCAGTGGGGAGGTGTTCTGGGGTGAAGCCTCCCTCTAACAGGCTAATCTGAAAAGTCAGTCTGCTCTACAGAACTTCACACACAAATCCAATGAGTGTTTATAGATGACTAATAGACAAAAACAAAGATCCATCAAAGATTATTTTAATGACAAGACCAGTCGCGGAAGTGAACTCTAGCCAATTTCAAATTTCTTTCTTTATATTTACAGCAAAAATAATCCCAAACATTCATGCTGACTTCCTGTGCACTATTAAATGACCATATGCCAAATTATAACAGACTAAACAATTTTTCTGATTTGTCTAGGCCATAACTTCTGGATGACACATTAAAATCACCATTGTTCTCAGAAATACACTTGGCAGAAAGCAGTCAAGAGCACAGTGTTGCAATATAATAATGGATGATTATGTTCTGAAATGTTTTG